TCAAAGTCAAGGATAGCTTTTAGAAGCCTTGGAACAACTGAATGCATTTCACTGGATTTTTTTTTTGGGGGGGAGGACAGAGGCCATTGAGGGAGGGTGGCTTCAGGAGAGAATGAAAATTTTAAGCTGCTGGCGGCTTATAAAGCTTTCACATTCAGACCGGTTTCCTAAAAACAAAACAAAAAAACCAAAAGGACTTCATACCCCTAACGCGGCAATGGAGGATTTGCTGACATTTCTCTTTGCCTCTCCCCGGGTCATTACTTACAAACCCAGGAAGACGAAGATATAATGACATTCATCTTACTCACCTGCGGTCAAGCCTGTTCCAGGTGCTTTAAGTGCCAACAGCAGCACCTCAGTGTTTAATGTAGTCAGGGGTCATTTCCTGCAGGAGCGCACAGGAGTGGAGCTCCGGCAGTAAAGAACCCAGGGGGTGGGCACATGCAACAAGCCCCCCCCCTGCTCCCAGCAGCCCTCAGTCAGAGCAAGAAGCAGCCAGGTCAGTTGCAGAGCCCTCCCCATCCAAAAAAGTCCAGTAGCATCTTTAATACCAGGTTTTATTCAGGTACAAGCTCTCCCTCCTCTGCCAGGACAGATTTGCATGCCCCCCCCAATAGCTAGCAACCCAAAACAGTCCAGTGGAGCCTGAGCGGTGGGTGTTGCCTTCTGACACACTTTTGGTGATGTCAGGGGGTGTGGCATATGCAAATAAGTTATGCTAATGAGCTCCTGAACCTCTTTTTCTATGAAATGACCCCTGAATGTAGTACTTCCTATAAACCACGTATTGGGAGAAATCAAAAGCTTGTGAGGGAAGAAAAAAAAAAGTACCTACCCCCAGCAGAGGCTGTCCACCCACTGCACTTCTGTATCTCAGTACTCCAGAGAGCAGTACAGTGTAGTGGTTAGAGTGCTGGACTCGACTGGACCCGTGTTCCAATTCCCAACTTGATAATGAGTGAGTCTGAGCCAGTCACGTTCTCTCAGGCTTAACCACTTGAGGGGGTCTGTCGTGAGGGGAAAGGGTAGGAAAGCAGGACTGCACACAGCGCCCCTCTTTTTCCCAGCCAGAAGCACCCCGCAGAACAAGGACCCATGACCAAACATCCCAGGTGGGCTCTTCGAAGGACAGGCAATTCCTACACACGTGTCGAGCAAACCTTTTTGTAACCAGACTTGTTGTCTTGGAGGAGACATGCAAGGTGGGAAGTTAAGAGATTCATACACATAATCCCTTAAAAGCTAAAAAGTAAAGGTTCCCTTGCTCGAAAGCCAGTCGAATCCGACTCTAGGGTTTGCGGTGCTCATCTCCGTTCCAAAGCCGAAGAGCCAGCACTGTCCCAGGCTTAACCACTTGAGGGGGTCTGTCGTGAGGGGAAAGGGTAGGAAAGCAGGACTGCACACACCAGCCAGAAGAACCCCGCAGAACAAGGACCCATGACCAAACATCCCAGATGGGATCTTCGAAGGACAGGCAATTCTCACACACGTGCCGAGCAAACTTTTTTGTAACCAGAGTTGTCGTCTTGGAGGAGACGTGCAAGGCGGGAAGTTAAGAGATCCATACACATAATCCCTCAAAAGCTAAAAAGGTACAGGTTCCCTTGGTCGAAAGCCAGTCGAATCCAACTCTAGAGTTACGGTGCTTATCTCCATTTCAAAGCCGAAGAGCCAGCGCTGTCAAAATGACCGCCTGTCATCAGGAGGTTCAGGAGTGTATAGAATGGATCTTCTATAAAAAGTAAAGGTAAAGGTTCCCCTTGCTCGAAAGCCAGTCGAATCCAACTCTAGAGTTACGGTGCTTATCTCCATTTCAAAGCCGAAGAGCCAGCGCTGTCAAAATGACCGCCTGTCATCAGGAGGTTCAGGAGTGTATAGAATGGATCTTCTATAAAAAGTAAAGGTAAAGGTTCCCCTTGCTCGAAAGCCAGTCGAATCCAACTCTAGAGTTACGGTGCTTATCTCCATTTCAAAGCCGAAGAGCCAGCGCTGTC